ATCCAGAGTGTGTTGGCCATTTAGGTAAATTTTGGAAGCACAAAACATACAGACCAGCAGCATCAGCATCACAGCATCATCTGGGAGTTTGTTAGAAGCATAGCCGAGATCCCACCTAGATCTACTGGATCAGACTCTCTGGGGCTGGACCCAGAAATCTGTGTTTCTAGTAGTATTTCAAGCTGACTCATATGCAAATTAAATTTTGAGACTTACTGCTGTACATTATTACTTACAAATACATACATATCTGTTAAAATATAACAACATAGGTGGGAAAATCCACACCAAATTCAGAATAGTGATTACCTTTGAGAAGAGAAACAGGAGGGAATGGAATTGGAAAGGGTACAAAGGAGTTTTAATTATGCCTGTAATATTTATTTCCTTTAAAAAATAGGAAACAAACATGGCAAAATATTAATATTGGTTAATCTGAGTGGTAAGTGCACAATATATTTTTTTTTCTTTGTGCTTTGTATGTTTGAAAATTTCATGATAAAGATTAGGGAAAGGAAGCAATAATCCCATGTGGGTAATTAAATGGAATCTAGCTCTTTCTTAATATATTATTAATGTCATTCACTGCCATGCCAATCATTATTTGTACCCATTACTTTTAGGAGAGTCAGAGAGCTAAACAGCAGCAACACTAAAAAGTTTCTGGAAGAAAGAAAGAGAGTAAGTCATTTATACTTTTTTTGGCACCTTTCCTCTAAAAAACTATAAATAAGTAATTCATGGTTAGATATCACACTTCTAATATCAGATTTGCATATTTGATTCTCTGTACCTTAAACATTCCAACTTCTCCCTGAAAGGTAAAGTTACCTCTTACTAAATCTTTAAGCTAATTATTTGGCACCAATTTATATTCGGATAATGAAGTCAAGTTTTAACCATGAGTTAAGTATTCTATTATTTTCTAAGAATTTAGCAGGGAAAAATCCCGTAAGAAGTATAGGTTTAAACTCTCCCACTTTTCAGACTTTTTTTTTTATTATTATTGCTTCCCTTATTGCTAAAATTGTAAACTTACAAGTCATCCCTCCTCTGTAATTTTTAAGATTACTACCCAAAGTTTATTGGAATTTTTTGTTTGGTTTTGTTTTTTGCAGCTTGCAATGAAGCAATCCAAAGAAATGGATCAGTTGAAAAAAGTCCAGCTTGAACATTTAGAATTCCTAGAGAAACAGAATGAGCAGGTATTTTACCCAAAAATCATGAAAAGATACAGTCAGCCATTCAGCTTCAGGATACAAAGGCTGTGACCTACAATGACCTTTCTGCTAAAGCCAGTGGAAAGCATGGAAAGGTGGCTAGAAGAATTTGGTGTCTATTACTGATTTTACCTTTTTTCATTCAAAAAGAACAGGAAGTAGTCTTTTTCTGGAGTAGATGAGAAATGTGACTGTGGGGTAAAAAGAATAAAAACTCATCATTTGAATATATTGTGGGGATTCTAAAAGGCTCCCTCGTGGCACAGTGGTTAAGCACCCAGCTGCTTACCAAAAGGTTGGTGTTTTGTATCCAACAGCTGCTCTGCAGAAGAAAGATTAGGCAGTCTGTTTCCATA